TTATGTTTTAAAAATTTAAAGCTGATTAATTTCACATTAATACATACACACTGAACATCCTGAAGAGAAGCTCAATGGCTAGCCCCAAATTTTCTTGAATTATATGTATATATTACATAATACATGTATTGAAAATATATTTGTGGTAAACTCCATGTAGTTGTTAATGAAAATGATGTCAGGGTTGTAAATTCAATCACATAATGTCTTCATCTCAGCTTTGTCCTGGAAGCAGCTACACTGTCTCATGGCTCTTCTGGTAGATGGGAACCACACTGCAGTGACAGAATTCATTTTACTTGGCTTAACAGATGACCCAGTCCTTCGAGCCATCCTCTTCATCATCATCCTGAGCATCTACTTGGTGACCCTGTCTGGAAACCTTAGCACAATCTTTCTAATCAGAGTCTCTCTTCAACTCCATCACCCCATGTACTTTTTTCTGAGCCATTTGGCTTCTGCTGACATTGGCTATTCATCTTCTGTCACACCCAGTATGCTAGTTAACTTTCTAGTAGAGAGAAATACCATTTCCTACCTTGGGTGTGGCACGCAGCTTGGCTCAGGTGCTTTCTTTGGGACAGTTGAGTGCTTCCTTCTGGCTGCCATGGCTTATGATCTCTTTGAGGCAATCTGTACCCCATTGCTTTATTCATCAAAAATGTCCACACGAGTCTGTGTCCAGTTGCTTGTGGGAGTTTATGTAGGTGGATTTCTTAATGCTTCCTCCTACACCTTTTCCTTCTCTTTACGCTTCTGTGGCCCGAACACAATCAATCATTTTTTCTGTGATTTTACTCCTTTAATTGAACTCTCCTGTTCTGATAATAGTGTCTGTGTATTTGTTAACACTATTTCTGTTGGCTCAGTAGTTGTAGTGACAGTGTCTGTCATAGCTGTCTCCTACATCTACATCCTCATCACCATCCTGAAGATGCCCTCCACTGAGGGCCGCAGCAAAGCCTTCTCCACTTGCACCTCCCACCTCACTACTGTCAGTTTGTTCTATGGGACTGTGACATTCATTTATGTGATGCCCAAATCCAGCTATTTCACTGACCAGAACAAGGTAGTGTCTGTGTTTTACATAGTGGTGATCCCTATGTTGAACCCCCTCATCTACAGTCTCAGAAATAATGAGATTAAAGGTGCTTTGAAGAGAAATCTTTGGAGGAAAATATTTTCTTAGAGTCATCTTTTGTTTTCTAGCACTTGTTATAGTTCTAACATCCCATAGTTGGAATAACAAAATGAAAGTGTTTATCTGTGATTGAAAAATTTGTCTACATAATATAAGCGAGGAGCTTTACAATAAATATTGTGGTTAAAATTTCAGATTATATAAAAATAACAGGATCATAGCAAGTTACCATTACAAAACCAAATCATGTTTTAATAGGGTAAATTTATCCTCATTAAATATAATCTGATGAAAAATTTTGAAGCTATATTCATATTTCTTTTCATTGTTCATAGTTAACATTGTTGCATATTAGATCTTAAAAGTCTCCAAATATTCATGTGGGTTGGTAAAGGGCATGTTCCTCTGTGTGGTTATCTTGGGAAATGCAGGAAGTTTGAGCCTAGTGGGCAATCTTTAGTTCACAAGAGGCATGTCTTAAGGAGATTCTGGGACCCAGAATATCCTTTGTCTCTTTTCTTTATTGACCATGAAGTGAGTGGTTTTGTTTTTTCATGAGTCTCTGCCATGTAGAGCGACAGACCTACATCAACAGAATCAACTAATAAATGAAATTGGAAAGGCAGTAAGATTAAATTTTTCACAATGGATTTTATCACCAATTGCTAAGTCATGTAAGTTAAAAATATTAACCACTACAGGAAAATATAAAATAAACAATATATTTAGGCCACACCACCAACAACATACAATTATAGAATATGCATTAAAAAATAACCTAGAATAGGAAAAGCTACGTCCAAATTGCTTTAATAGTTTTCAATTAGATAATGTGCCATTTAAAAATACAGTGCAACAAAGCTAGAAATAAACCAAATAAATGATAACTAGATATTTTACTTACTGGTAAATGAATTACCATAGCATTAAATATTATTTTATCAAACAATAAAATCACTATATATATTAATAAACAATTGGGTGGCAAAATTTTTTAAATGGGAAAATTCATTATGCACATGCACAATTACAAAAACTACTTTATAGTCTTAAATTCACATACCAGAAAAGTGCTAAAATGAATAAGCTTGGCCTTCATTTCAATATATACAGGAGAGGAAGAATATAAAACTCATGGTATAGAAAGAACTATAAACTTAATGACATTAATTAATTGAGGAGAAGATCAAGTAGAAAGCCAATCCACAATGAAAGAAATTTCGCTAAATATTTTTTTTCTTGGAGTGATTTTTATTGGCTTTTAGCAAGCAAAAATAAGCCACAGAAAACAAGTATAAGAAGTATTTAAAAGAATATACAAATTTTACATATATTGGGAAAATACAAGATTATAAACAGTTCTATGAACTTTTTTTTGATAATTTGGGTAAACTTAAGAATTTCTACACAGGCACAAATAATCAAAACTAACTGAAGCATAAGATAGAAAATCTAGGGATCATTTAGACATTATTGACATTTAGTCAAAGTGTAAAAAATCTTCCCATAAGGAGAAATGCCTCAGTAGTAAGTTTTTCTGTAAGATAAAAACACTCAATGAAATTACAATTCCCTTATTATGCAAACTCGTTGAGAAAATCAACCTAGTAATACTTGGGATATGTACATTGTTTTCTTCCTTCCCCCTCACCTCCTCCCCATCTTGTTCTTCCTCCTCCTCCTCCTCCTCCTCCTCCTCCTCCTCCTCCTTCTCTTTTCTTCCTCCTTCTCACTCTCCTCCTCCTCCCTCCTCCTTCTCCTTCTCCTCTTCCTCTTGTTCTACGTCCCCTCCTCTTCCTTTTTTCTTTTTACATTTTTATAGTGTTGTTTTTCTTTTTCTTTGAGACAGGGTCTCAAGAGCCTTGAACTATCATTCCTCCTACCTCAGCCTCTTAAACACAGGGATTACACACTTGCAGCACCACACCCTGCTCAGGGACATCTTGATGATGAATCTCATGAAGATTTTTTAAAAGGAAGTTATAACTCAAAGGAAGGTTTCCTATGCCTGATAATGGGGTTTTTGTTAGTCTATGGACCTTGGTGGAGTATTATTAATCTGTGTGACATATCCACTAAAATACATATTATAAATATTATGTATTATATGCATTTTACAATATCTTACTGATTCTTTGAGAATTTCATTCAGTGTATTTTGATCAAATTCAGACCCCTCCCCCCACTATGCCCCACTCCCACCCTACTATGCCCCTCCCAGACTTCATGTCATCTACTATTTTATTTACAACTGTTCTATTTATTATTTTTACTTTATATGTATAAATACATTGCTTGCATGTATGTAAGTGCACCCATGTCATGCAATGCCCAGAGAGGTCAGAGGGCATTAGATTCCCCTGAACTAAAATTATGTAGTGTTTGTAGCTGCCATGTGGGTGGTGGGAACCAAACCTGGGTCCTCTGCAAGAGCAGCCAGTGCTCTTAACTGCTAAGCCATCCCTCCAGCCCCCTTATTATTTCTCTTCATGTGCTTATAAAATTATGTTCTCCTATGGCTTTTAAAAAGGTCATTAGTGATATTTATCTCTCCTACCTCTCTCTATATATTATCCTACTTATCCCTGCCTCAGTTAAAGTCCACACCTCCTCTCCCACCCCTTTCTCCTTCATAGCATCTATGTCTTACTATCTCCCTCTCTAGAGCACCTCCCTCCCTCCCATGGTCACTTTCTACTTCCATGGCTTCTGTAGTTACTTCAGGTTATATACTTAAATCTAAGTTTTCATATTTAACATCCACAAATAAGAGAATACTCATAGCATGTGTCTTTCTGGATCTTAGTTGTCTCAGTATATTTTCTAATGCCATACATTTACATGCAAATTTCATTCATTTTTCTTTAGAGCTAAATAGAATCTAATCTTACATATCTATCACATTTTCATGATCTATTTATTAATTGAAAGACATTTAGGTTTTTCCCATTTCACAACTATTATGAAGAGAGCAGCAATGAACATGGTTGAATAGCTCTCTCTTTAGTAGGACATTAAATCCTTTGGGTATATGCCAAAGACTGGTTGTAGCCTGGAAACCACTTATTCCTTGGAAAAGCATGAGAGATGGGCTAGGCAGGGCACCCTGGGAAGAAGGGTGGAGCCTAGGCAACCAGCAGAGGTAGCAGCTGTGAGATTGGAACAAGGAAAAGGAAGTGTGTGGCCGCTGGGATGAATGGCAGAGGAGTCCTGCAGGCGTGGAAGCGAGATGGGGCATTTATAGACCTGGCGAGACTGTGGACTGTGGGTGGGATGTGAAAGAGATCAGAACAACCCTGAGTGGTTTCTTTGTAAGACCTCCCTCCCTATCATATAAACCATGTGAAACCCAAGATAAAATTGTGTTATGTCGGTTGGTTTGTCCACAGGTGTTAGGCGCATGAGGCCCTGAGAGAGTAAGGGAGGGCCAAACAGAGAGCCTGGAGGAGAAAATTTAGTTGCACAGTGGTAGACCTGAGACACATGGCAGATCTACCTTTATGTATTTGAGAATTCTCCACACTGATTTGCACAGTTGCTACAGAAGTTTGCAGTCCTACCGGCAGTGAACGAGAGCTCTTTCTGCACATCCTCACCATTTGTGGTCATTTGTTTTCTTCATCTTAGCCATTCTGTCTGGGTTAAGATAAAATCTCAAAGTACTTTTAATCTGTATTTCCATGATTGTTAAGGATGTTGAACAATGTTTTGTTTGTTTTATTTTTTTTGACAGGGTCTCCTTAGCCATAGCCCATCTAGAACTCACTCTACAGAGCAGCCTGGCCTCTAATTCACAGAGATCCACCATCCTCTGCCTCCTGAAGGCTGGGATTTAAAGGGTGTACACCAACACATGTGGCTGAACACTTTCTAATAAATTTCTTGATCATATTTGTATCTTCTGAGAATTCTATTCAGAGCCAAAGTTCATTTTAATTGGGTCATTTGTTTTATTGATTCTTTGGTGTTTTGGCTTTGCTATGTTCTTGATACTAATCATATATCAGATGTATAGCTGGCAAAGATTCTTCCCCACTCTGTGGGCTTTCTCTTCACTCAATTTATTGTTACATTTGTTGTACAGAAGCTTTTTAGTTTTACAAGGTCCTACTCTTCAACTATTGATCTTAATTCCTGAGTGAATGGATTCCTATTCAAAGTCCTTTCATGAATTAATATCTTCCAGGGTACTGTCTATGTTTTCTTCTAGCAGGATTAGTATTTCAGGTTTCATATTAAGGTGTTTAATCCATTTGGATTGATTTTTGTGCAATGTGATAGATATGGGTCTAATTTCATTCCTCTATATATGAACATCCAGTTTTCACATTGGCCATAGTCCAAGTCTGTTCCTTGTGCTGCATGTGGCCTTAGTCTTCATCTGACTCACTAGGTGCTTACAGCTGTTTTGGGTAGACCATCCAGTGTTTCTGACACCTCCAGTGTTCTGTAATCTTTACAGTAATTTAGGCTTAATCTTTAAAACTTCACAAGAACTTCACCCAGGAACTTATGCTAGAAATGTTACCCTGCCACATATTGCATGGCATCAATATCTTTCTGAAATCTTGGTGCAAGACTCCTCTACTCTTCACTCATGTCATCCTTGCTTAAAAAAATAACATCATGCCAGGTGTGGTGGTGCATGCCTTTAATCCCAGCACTCGGGAGGCAGAGGCAGGTGGATCTTTGTGAGTTCAAGGCCAGCCTGGTCTACATAGTGAGTTCCAGGACAGCTGGGGCCACAGGGAGACCCTGTCTCAAAAAGACCAAAAAAAAAAAAAAGAATAACACCATGTAGATGATCCTACCATGTTTTGTTAACATCTTGAGATGTAGTTTGACCTGCTTCTTCTGTATCTGTAGTGGCTTCTGTAAGCATTGGGAGCTGAACCTGTTAAATTAATTCCCTAAGTGGTTCTGGTTGATTTTAACCAGAGAATGGATTTAACGGTATTGCCAGTTTAGGCTTTTTTCTTTAACTTGATTTGCTTCTTTTCAATGTATATATTTTTATTGAATTTTTGTGGATGTCATACAAAATGTCT